TGTCGACCTCCTAGTCTCTCCATGATGCTTCTTCTTCTCCTAATCAAGATTGATGCTATCCATTCTTCCTTTCTCAGCAGAGATTAACTACTTTGTAAATGTTCTTCCTTCAACTTTCTAGTAAGAAAAACAACCACAATTCATCTTTTCATCCTTGATTGAGTTGGGTTAACTCTAATATTGTGTTATCTTAATTTTGGGTGATAATTTCCACAATTCTTTCCTCTGATTCTGTTAGTTTGTGAATGCCAAATCTGGCTCTTCTTTTTGGAAAAATTTTGGCATGTAACCATTGCCTTAAGTTGATTTTAATTAATTAGTGTTGAATTGTGGAACAAAATTGGTTGCTAGAACACTTTGGGTGTTGCTATATTACTTCTTGTACACAAGTAAATTCTAGTGTTTGCTGAATTAGTTGTTAGTACACTTTGGGTGCTGTTAGTCTATGTGTTTTACCCAAATAAAATTTTAGTGCCTGCTAAATTGGTTGCTAGAACACTTTAAGTGTTGTTATTCCATCTGTTTTACTCAAATAAATTCTGGTATTTGGGTGATAGTTGGACAAAGAGAATGGTTGGTAATTGGAGCCGTTGTGGTTTGATAAATTGGTAAACCTAAGTTCTATTTAGTTTGGTTGTTTCATTAAATCTTTATATTGGAATCTAGAAATTATGTCAACTTACAATTTAGAGCTTTTAGAAATTAGTTTTGGATATGCACAAATTTGAAGGTTGTTCAAGAAATTTTAGAGGTAATAATGGAAGTAAGTAGCAACTATTTTGGGTTTGATTTCTAATTTATTTAGTTATTGTTCTTATTGGATTGAAGATCTATTGAGGGGATACAAGGTAAAAGAATTAGCTCTGATATGCTTTTGTTATTACACTTGGGTAAATCAAATAAAATAAGGTTAAATGCTAAATTTGGTCCCTCAACTTTAGTGAGTTACACATATTTGGTCCCTCAATAATTTTTTTCATTTTTTTGATCCCTCGACTCTAAGAATTGCACAAATTTGATCTTCCAACAGTTAACTCACAGCTGGCAGTTAAATATTCCAAAATGGCACCTTTTTAATGACATGTCGATGACAAATCATATGATTAGCGTAGGTGTACATGCCAACTCAGATTTAATTGTTATTTTTAATTCTTTGTCACTGTTTCCAGCCATTTTTCCTCTCTTTGTCATTGTTTCTCTTCTCCCTTCCCACTCATCCCCCTTCTTGGACATGACTGGGTTTGTGACAAACCTAGATATATTCTGGGTTCGTCGCAAACCCAAGTCTGTTTTGGGTTCATCGTGACTTTAATATCAAGAATCAATATTGAAACTGAGAAAACATGGATCTGTAATGCAATATTCATCCACATATACTAAAATAAGGATTTGAAAAGGAAACACAAATACATGCAAATGTGAAATCAACTTATGAGTTACGACTAATGCAAACAAGCAAAAGTTATAGTCTTACAGAATACATATTAGCAAGCTCCAAATGCTTGAGAAATGACAATGCAGAAGTTTTGAAAAACCAGTTAATAAGGTTGCAATGAAGAAAAATCTACAGCGAATTTATCAGTATTTTAACACATATTGCCGGAAACAAAATTGATTTTGGGGGAAAAGAATACAGAAATCAGAGAATGTAGTTTGCCTGTACTTTTGCCCAAGTTAGTCTCCATTTTTTATCCTTTTCAAAAACCATGGTAAAAACCTATCTAAAGAACCTAATCAAACATGCTCTTTAAACAATTCTAAAAGGGATGCAAGATGCACAAAAGAAAGCAAACATTGGAATCAATCTAGCTAATAATTGTGTATGGAATGCCAGAGTCAACCAAATACTGCTCAACTTTTCTCTTCCAAACCCAGCAAATCTGGGTTCGATGTAACCCAGCAGATGGGTTCCATGTAACCCAGCAGATGGGTTCCATCGAACTCGAGCTGGGTTCGGTGGAACCCAGTTGATGGGTTCCTCAAACCTAGCAAATCTGGGTTCGGTGGAACCCAGTTGCTAGGTTCCTCAAACCCAGCAAATCTGGGTTCGATGGAACCCAACAGATGGGTTCCGTCGAACCTGTTGGGTTCCATCGAACCTATTGGGTTCCATTGAACCTAAGCCAGGTTCCCTTGAACCCAGATCAACTGGGTTTGAGGGAACCCAGCAACACAAAGGAAGAAGAGGAAGAAAGAAAAAGCAAAAAGAAAGGAAGAAGATGGATCAAGAAAGAAAGGGAGACAGGGGTACTAAGGTAAATTTGTAGTTTTTTATTTTTTTATTAAAAATATAAATGCTAATCAAATTTGGTTAATGAGTTGGCGTTGACATGTCATAAAAAAATGTCCAGATCAACACTTTTTTAAGTTGTTTTCACCATGTCATCAAAAAAATATAAAAAATGCCACATGCACAGAGTTAATGGGCCAAATTGACGAAAGGACTAACGATATGCATTTCTTAGAGTTAAGGGATCAAAAAAGTGCAAAAAATTGTTGAGGGACCAAAATTAGCATTTAACCATAAAAGAAAGATTAGCGTTTAATTTTGATCCAAATTGATAGCTTGACCCTGTGTTAGTAATCTGACCATAAATTCCTCTATAGATTTCAGATTAAGGTGATTATTGATCCTATTGAAAGCTAAGACATAAGGCTACGGTTAGTTTGTTAACCATTCAGGATAGTTTGGTCAATTTCTGAGTGCAAATTCTATTGGAAATTCTAGTTCAGAATCTAACCAAAACTTGCCCTCAAGTTCTTGCTGATCTAGTGTCCAAATTTTTTGTAGTCCTTAACTCTATTATTTGCTTTTACTCTATGATTCTTAAACATATTTTATATCTAAATTCTTGATACTTGAGGAATTTTAAGTCTCAGCAAAATGAGGTAAGTAAATTTTTAGTTTTGTGAATGGTTCTAAACTAAGGGTTTAAAAGCATATTTTTGAATTGTTTTGAGAGGTGGTGGTAAAATCTAACCTAATTTATGTTGATATAAGTATGGCATGCTTTGATATGTAGTTTTATAATTGTTATTTATTGAAGTTTGGGCATGGCTTTTTTTATGAGATATACCTATTGAAACAATTTGGATTATGATTTCACTTTCATGTTTAAATGTCTGAAACAATCTAAATTATGTTCCCTATTTAAATGCATACATTGTTTGTCTCCAATTTTATTGTTATTCCTGTTATCCTATTAGTTGGAGTGTAAACATTGGTAATTCCTGTTATCCTACCAGTGGGAGTGTAAACACTGGTTATTCCTATTATCCAGCCAGTAGGAGTGTAAACAGTGGTTATTCCTATTATCCTACTAGTAGAAGTGTAAACACTAATTATTTTTGTTATCTTGTGAGTGGGAGTATAAATACTAGCCATGACTAAATGAGAAGACCACTAAGAGATTTTTATTATTATTATTATTATGCATTACGAGATTGAAACTAGAAGTACTATTTTGATGTGCTATATCCATCATGCTTTCTTCTAAATTAAAGTGTGGCTACCCATAATTTACTTACTAAGATTTATCTCACATTTTTGTTCTTGTCCACCATTTTAAGTAACTAGACTTGAGTCTTTAGGATCAGGGCAAGTGGTGTGCCAGTTAACTAGTTCACTTACTAGTGGATTGGGATTAGATTTTAGATCATGTAAGTTATTTCTTTTTATAGATTTTAGTGGACCATTAGAAGATATGGATTATTGCATAACATATTAAATTGGTTTTAAGCCTTATTCACTTGTGGGACCCATTTATAAGTATACAGTATCTATTTCGCTCTTGGTTTTAGGGCATGACATTTAGCTAGGATTCATCTACATTAGCACCATAAAGAGCACTCTTGTTGAAATTAATAGGGCTGGGCGTTTAGAGTCGCAACCGCAAAAATGCCCGTGCTTGCCCGCAACCATA